ATATATGTGTATGTGTGTATACATACGACTTGTTAATACATTAGGAGTGAGCACTTATCGAGATTCACGAGAAGTGTGTCGGACAATGACTGACTCGATTCTTCAAACATGTGTATAGTATTTTTTTCTTTATTCTAAGAGTTATGATTGGTAGAAATGATTTTAAAGTCGAAAGACTTTCTGTTGACATTTTGCTTGTTTTAGTTGCGCTGGTTTCTTCAAACGATCCGTTCGACGCAACCGAGTTTATCATTGCAAAAATCGGAACAAATGTGTCGTAGACAAATACCGACGAAATCAATGTCGCGCTTGCCGTTACCGTTCGTAGTCATGTCCTTTTCTCACTGTATCTCATGTTCCTTTATATCTAGGTCGATGTCTCGATGCAGGAATGAACAAAGATGGTAAATGACAATGCAAATATCTATTTTAAAAAATCTTCTGTGTTTAGCTGTTCAAAATGAACGAGGTCCAAGGCAACCGTTCCCAGATCGACATATGCATATAACCGGTTCATTCGGTGTTAAACCAGAGGTAGAACTTTCACTGAAGTTGCCATCAGAATATCCGACTGTACAATTGTAGGTTTCTTATGTTCCGCCAAGCATCCAAATACCTTTGTCGAACACTCCATTTCAGTCTACCCCATCGCTATTCAAATTAGATTTATACGTGTATGAAATGGCTGCTCGTATACTTTTCTATATCGTGCATTGGTTACGTTCAATCAAAGAATTTCAAGTCATTCATGTCAAAGATCAGGTAAAATTAGATGGCGCTCTTGTTCATACCTATCGATCGTATTTAGATCGCTAGTCTCGTTCATTGTTGGCATGAGATCTTTCTTTTATCATTATGTGAATACAAATTTGATGTGCCATGGATGAATCTGATTCATTCAGGTAAGATCTTTACGTCGAATAGAACAGTTCGAGTATGAAATTCTTATTTTAACAGCCGATCGATCTAATGCAATGGGAATCAAAAATCTTTACCTAATGCAGGATATTTACAATCGTATTCAACAGATGAATATCGACTACGTGGAATATTTCCATCTAAAACTTTTACTATTCTGTCGATGGGGTAAGTTTTTCTTTCATGAGATGAAATCTCGTTTCGAAAGATGCAATTTATATCCTAGTGGACACAAATCAGAATTTGAACGAACGCAGTTTACTGGATGATCATTTAGCAGCATTAGAAATGCATGTTCATCGTACTTATCCTCTGCAACCACAACGTTTTGATCAATTGAAAAGTCTTCTGTCTAATCTACGTACAATATTGTCACCAGAAATTCAAAATATCTTCTTCAAAAACATTCTCGGATATTGTTCGATTGAATTAATTCTACGAAATTTATATGAAACGGTAACAACAACGTCATGAAGAGATCCTTGGGAACAGTACTCGTGAATGACTTGAGTTGTGGGTTTTTTTTTGTATTGTGTGTTTGTACAATTTTTCTTTTTCGAAGACAATCTCCTAGAAAATGTGGAAGACTAGATAGCTAAACTAACGCGACATGACGGTGTGTCAGTCGTAGAACACTTCCGTATACGTTTTGATCTTATGAGTTGGTAGATTTGTTCATTTCGATTTACGCTTAGAATGAACAATAAAATTTGATCGAATTCATTGTTAAACTAGGCGAACTTGCAATCGATTGAAACAAAAATCATTTCTTCACTTACCTATCACTATGGAAAGGTTCTGTCACCTATCGACGAAAACGAAAGATTTACAAAGGTATATGTGTTCTCATTATTGTTTCCGATATATTTACTAATCGACTGAGTAGGAAATCGATGATGAAATCAGTTTTTGATAGCAGTACTATCAACATCATTCTTACTTCTTGGTGATGAAATATTTGTCTAAAAACTTTCGAAATATTGTCTTGTATATTTATTTATTCGATACAAAGATCCAAATGAGATTCAAAAGTGCATTAATCTCTCTACTGATCAGACTTTATTGACCTTGTGATTAGCATATCAAGATACAAAACAAGTTTGAGTCAATATCGAATGTGAACGAAATTTAATTAAATCTTTGAAGTTTACGAGAAAAGATTTGCCGTCGTAATATAGTCTTTCGCTCAAGCATAGTAAATGTCCAATTCATTCGTCTTACTGAACTACTTCTGTTTATTCATCAATTCGTTGATGTCCTTGGAATTCAACTGTTATCGCAGTGTGCTTTTACAATGGAGTAACTGTATTAGCGAAAAGAAATTTCAACTTATATTCTATTCCGTTTAATGTATTATGAAATTTGAGTGTGGGCAAATAGACACATCTACCAAACTCCCGTTTAATCAAAGAACGAAAGTGAAAGAATAAGAAAAAGTGCCTAACATTCGATTAAATTTTACATTTTTTTCTTAATCATTGTTAAAGTCGTTGAAATCTTTTGTGCGCATGTTTCTTTTCGTCGTCTTGTCGATATGAACTTAGCTTTTCTTTCGTATTAATGCTGAGAATGTAAAGCAAAAGTTGAACAATGTAGCAAGAAATAGAAAAGGCTGAATTTCTTTTTTCTGATTGTAAATATTTTCTTTTCGAATCTCGTATATATTCAATGTCTGGTCCATTTAATGGGAAGAGACAGAGAGAAAATTATTGAAGCGAAGAATAGGAGAAAGAGAATATGCATGAATTTAATTGCCGGAGTGGCAAAGGTGCGACCCTTTTTCCTCCCTTCTTTCACCTGAGGGGTGAACGAATGAATCGAATATATATGTGCGTGTGTGTATGTGTATATATGTATGCCTTTGTGAAGAAACGAAAAAAAAAAACGAAGGAGAAGATTGTAGTCTTTAGTGTCGTCGTCTTGGTGGCTGTACATATGTACGAAACAAGCGACGACGTTCGTATTTGACAAAAGAAGGACAGAGTGTGACTGAAGAATGAAAGAAAAAGAAGAGAAGAAAAAGAAGAAAGAGAAAGACGAATCACTCTACTGCCCACGTTTGGTTTGTATCGCGACGAACGAACGGAAGGCAGATTAGAGATCAACATAATAAAATTCGCCATACGATGTGTCACCATTGCTCAGTCATTCTTTTACTCTTTTTCTCATCATTTCGTTAGCTTTTTATTCTTACTTTCTGCTCTACAAACAACAACAACAACAACAAATCGTCATCATCAACAATCAACGAAACGATTCGCTTGTTCTGTTCGTAGCATACATATTAGACGTGATTTTTTTTACTTGTATTAACTGCTTTCATTCGTTGTCGTTACCTGACTCGTTCTCATTCAGTCATCCGTGTGACGAACAACATTTTATAACGCGCATGTACACACACATAACTAACTCTGAATAAACGAAATAATAATCAACTATGTTAATGCCTCCAACACCCACACAGTTATTAACCATTCACCAAGCTGGCCAAACAGCTCCAACATCATCTTCGCCAGTTTTGTCTCCACTAACTTCGTAAGTTATTTCGCTCTCGCCTACTTTTGTGTTTATTTAAGGACAATTTCCTTTTGCTTGTAGAACATCACCTCCAGCAACACAAACTGATCCATCACTAGCAGATAATCCTGAATATTTATCTCAATTATTAAAGGATAAACGACAATTAGCTGCTGTACCGAATATGTTCATGCATATCGAACGATTGCTTGATCAAGGTCAGTGCTGAAAAAAGAATTTTATCGATTTGCGTAAGATTATCGTTCGATTGTTTTAGAAATTAACAAAGTTCGAGTGAATCTATTCAATCTAAGTACTCGTCCGAAGATCGATCTACCTGAACCTAATGGCGAGAAGAAAATCTTTCAAGAAAAAGTCTTTATTCCGGTGCAACAACATCCTGAAGTAAGTTTCGCCGAATTCTTTGCATACTAATATCGTAATCATCCTTAAGTTCTATCATTGTGCTTTCTTTTGACCAACCTATAATAACAATGCATGATTTCTTTGTTCGATACTGTACAGAAATAATAATAAGACAAAGAATTGAGATTACTTGATCGGTTTTCATTGTTTGCATTTATCTCAAGTGCTCGTATCCGTTTGAGTTTGAAATTTTTGTACTCTAGATTCATTAGTTCGTCGATATAAATATACGGTAAAGCAAAAATCTATTTGGCCAAGTCGTTTCTTGCTCTCTGAAAATAAAAAAAATCAAATCAACACACACATATATATATCTACCTATACATATAAATATCTTGTCTAAAACTTCACTCTTACACCCTTCATCTATTTTTTTCTGACATGCTTCTGCACAGTGAGGAAAAAAACACATCTCAATCGACTCATTTGATTCACCAAAAAACCAACTACTGATTTTGTCGTCTATTGCGCTTTAATACGATAATAACTTCATCGATTGGATTCTCTCTCTTTCTAAAAACCCAACAGCTTTTAATTATTTTTCTAGTTTTTATCTATTGATCATCATCGGTGTGTGCGGTAATTTTTTTAAAATATAATCATATTCTGTCTTGCATGTTTGTTGGCTCAATCCATATTATTTCGTTGTTTTTTTTTCTAATCACTCATTATTCGTCCATCGTTCGTTTGTGCTTGTCGCATGCCGAACCAAAAAAAAACTATACTCAGCTAATCAAATTACTATATATTTATATACTTAATTTCCAACTCTATTTGTGTTCATACCACTACTCGATTCGTGTTTTGATCTTTCGAGATAACAAACTACGTGTTTATTTGATGAATTCATTTGGTTTTGTTTTCGTCGTTTTAGTTCAATTTCGTTGGCCGAATTTTGGGTCCACGCGGGATGACTGCGAAGCAACTTGAAGCGGATACGGGTTGTAAAATAATGGTGCGGGGACGAGGATCGATGCGTGATAAACAAAAAGTAAAATTTCGAAAATTGATTTGTTTATTCATGAAGAAAGATTTGATTTGTAGGAAGATCAAAATCGTGGTAAAGCCAACTGGGAACATCTGGACGAAGAATTACATGTTTTAATCCAATGTGAAGATCACGAAAATCGCGCTTTGGTGAAACTTGAACGTGCGAAAGAAGAAATTATGAAATTATTAAAACCGGCTGTACGTAAACTTCTTTTGATTTATGTAACGTATTCTCATTGACATTGAAATTTTCAGGCCGAAGGTGAAGATGATTTGAAAAAGAAGCAATTAATGGAACTAGCGATTATCAATGGAACCTATCGAGAACCGAACCTGTTTCAGAAAAAATTACAACAAATTCAATTTCCAAATAACCGCATGCCAATTGGCGCCCCGCTGATATTGACGCCTCGTATGCAGCAAAACCTCCTTGCAGCACAAATTCAATCAGGTGGGACACCAACTATGTTTACTACGACCGCCAATGGACAAGCACAAGCTACATTAACAGCTGTACCACAAGGTTCACTGATTCAAACGACAGCGCCGAACGGCGAACAGAACTTCGTTCAAGTCTTCGGGCCTTTGCCAACACTAGATCAAATGGGTGGAATGATTGCTGGTGGTGCACAATTATTCGAATACCCAACATCGATTGATCCAAGTCAAGCAAGTAAATACCTCCGTTTTCGCATGTCGTTTCATTCAAACGAAACTTTACGCAATTTTTCTCTTTTAGCTTTTCCATTTCTAACAGCTGCAGCGACAACTCCAGCAGGTATCAAATTTAATTCTCTCTATCTCTTGTCATCCGCTTTCCGATCGACGCCACGCTCTTGCTGTTATTGCCACGATAGGCATCATCATCATCAGCAGCAGCATCAGGATTTTCAACAACATCATCAGCCATTCAATCAGTCTATGTACCAAAAAGTTCCTAACTATGTCAAAAGCTAGAATGATTACTCTTCTCTCTCTTCCGTCTATTTCTTTCTCTTCCTTTTCTAAAACTTCGCTTTAACGCATGATCTCTTTTTCATCTTACAACCAGAAATTAAAGGATTATTGACAAATCTTGCTTTTTTGTTCTAAAACCAAAAAACCCAAACACCTGAATGCACTCTCTAACTATCAACCAAAATCAACATCAACAAACTAGGTTAGCATAGTTAATCCGAATATAATTATTTTACGGCAATAACAGCAGGTGACGTGCTTCTCGATTTAGTTAGTCAAGTTAGTTCTGGATGAGAGTAGTTCAATAGTCTGCAATTCTATCTCTCCTTCTAGGCTCACTGATTTCGTGATGATGATGAAGCAAAATAATATCTAAAAGAAAACACACAGGACTAAGCATGAGGCAATACGTACGCTTCGAAGATTCTTTTGAGCATCTGATTCTTTGTTTTTGTATGATTTCTTTTTCTTTGAAACCGCTGTAGAACTGACTGACCTCACGAAAAACTGATTAGTTTTTGTTTTTGGATCATTTCATGTATATGTTTATGATGAATAATATCTCACTGCTTTCTCTGCTCTTTCTCTTCTTTACCGTGCAGGTATAGCTACTAGAACAACAACAAACAATGCTTCCGGAAACGTCACACCAGGATCTGCAGCCTCTTCTATTTCTGCCCGTTATCAACCTTACACAATTCAACCACCTCGTCTAAATCGTACATAAATTTCTTCTTCTAAATAACTAAACATAAACCTTAACACCAAAACAACACCCAACACAACAACAACGGTTAGTTTGCCTCTTGTTTTGTCTAACAAAATCCAAGAGATTCACTGAATCTTTTCTTGTTCATTCTGTTGGTTTTTCTTGCATGAAACAAAACTCTTTCATTCCGTCATTTTCTAACATTTCATCTTTATACTTTCAACAACGCACGCGACTTATGATTATTACTACTACTACCACTCAATTCTCTGCTTGCTTCATTGATAACAAAAAAAACAAAACGTTTTCTTTCTTTTTTTTTTCTATAGATCTGTGATTCGTTTTCTTTCTCTACTGATGAAACGATCTTGTTCAAGTTTCTTTTTGTTCCTCTGTTCTCTCTCTCTCTCTTGTGATAAAACGTGAAATGGTCATTATTACTGACGACTTTTCCAATGTATTATATTGAAAAAAAAACTTTTTTGTTTTTGTCAATTTTTTTTTGTTCATTTTGTTTTCAATCGTATATGCATCCTCCAGTGTTTGGTTAACTATCTTTTCTTTTTCTATACGAGTGTGTTTTTTTTTGTTATTGCCCAAGATCAAAATTTATGCTTTGACGCATATCGAACATTATATATATAAAAAAGGAATATAAAGTTGACATGGTGTCTTTGATCAATATTGAGATTTTTCATGTTGAGTGATTGACAAGATATGAACATGAGAGATCATAATTTGTGACAAGAACTATTAAAAGCTGAATAGAAATGAGATTTCTTCGTATTTTTGTCGAAAGAAATTTCTGTCAATGAAAGAACATACTCATTTCCCGTTCATGTCTTTCTTTTGCTACAAAAACTTGTTTCTCTTTCGGATCTGTCAATGTTAAAAATCAAAAGAATGAATGAACTGAAAAAAGAGAAGTCGATTACAATTCTCTGAAAAACATGTCAGAAACAGAATAGCAGATGCAGGAAGAACAAGCAGCACTTTCACAATCCTAACAGACAGTAAACTTCGTTATCTTGAGTTGAACAAATCGAGTTATAAGAACGTTCTTCCAGGTACAGATGAAGTTAGTCGAGAAAATATATTCTAGTTAACGCCTGCTACTACTTGCATGAGAACCGGTAAGTAATTAACTGAAAAAAAAATCTCAGTATTAATAGAATAAATGATAGAATCTCTAGAGTATATCATGTAATTAGAAATAGAGAAAAAAATATCTCTTTATCGAAAGTAATCATCTGTTTGGAGAAAGACTGACTCGACTTTCTTAAAGTTGCCTTTTTTTGCTTAATCAAATCTCAACAGAGATTCGTTGTCAATTCGATCCACTTGAATTTCTTATTTATTAATGTATAATTGCTGGCTATCAACGGTTAGAAAAACCGGAAGGAAGAGAAAGTATAAGGAAAGGGAACAATACAAGCGGGATGTTTTCTCTCCCTCCCTCTTCGCGCAGTTTTCTCATCAATTGATTTGAAGTGAATCGTTTTACTGTGGAAGAAATTCGCAATTAAAGTGAGATGTATATGCGAGTTATTCATGGATTTCATTAGAATACAAAAGCTAGATTTAGATTTGAGATGAAAGAAAAAGATCCGAGCATATTCTTTCAGACAACTTTTCTCGTCACATGTTGTTATTCATCTTATTATTATTAAATTAAAACTCATATCTATACGCCTTTCTTGTCGCTCAATGATGATAGATGAGCAGCCGACGAAGCGACAACGACATAGAGATAGCTAACTAGCCTGTTGGCTCTAAAAAAAACGGATAAAGACAAGCATAAGCAACGTAAATGAGAAAAAAAAGAATCGAAGAAAGACCAAAAGCTACTTAGTAGCTCTAGGGAATAAAGAGAAAGATGTTTCTTTTTTGCCTGTCTATTTTCTTCTACACTCATTTTCCTATCTCTCGTTTTATCTTGCGCACATAAACATCATCACTACCACGATCGTCTTATTCTGATTCACATAGACTCATTTCTTAGTTTTGATTTTTTCTGTTTCTTTCTCTTCAGAACAGATCGACGAATAGATACGACCACGCAAAACAATCTTACATATGTATAGGTAATGGTTACATATCATTACACTCATCAATTTGATTCATTAATCTCTAACTACATAAATCTATTTATCTGTCAAATACTTCTAAAACGATGAGCCACAGTTTAGCGAAGAAATTCGATAAAATCGTTTCGAAATTGGGAAGCAAACATAAGGACACAAAGTCGAATGGGAATGAAGCAAATGTCGATGACACGACAGCGGATGGAAGTGGTGAAGTACATTACGAATCGACTCCGAAATTGAAAGGACATGCGTCTGGTTCAGGAAAATCGGATCAGATTTATCCGACTGAAGGAGCTCCACCCGTTCAAGTCATCCTCAACGACCTGAAAGATTCTCCATTTAAAGGTAAAAATCATTTCTTTTTCGCTTTGTTGAATTGATCTGATCAAAATGATTGATGTGTGACAGCATCACTTCTTTTTATTTATTTTATTTGCTTGTACGTGTCGCATTTATGCAAAACGAAGCAATGATTCTTTTATTGACTGTTTAGAACTCTCCTCACATATCATTTAATAGCTGTCGTATTTTCATAACCAATGTTTCTTTTTTATTCTGATCTTGATATGCATTTATCTGATCACGTACTCCGTTTTTCTTGTTCTACCGAAATGTCTCCCACTTGTTAAAATCGTCCGACTAGTAAAACATCAAAACTGATGAGTAATCAAAATGCACACAGAAAATTCCATTGATGACTCGAAGAGTCGAAAAAAAAACGAATAAACTGAATACCAACACATCAGCAGTAATACATACATTAGTTGATAAAGATCGTCGATTGAGAATAGTTTTGTTATTCTCAGCTGAATAGACCATGGCAAATAACTCTCGCGTTCGTACTTATCAATCGATCAATCGGCAACTCGATGAACGCTACCAGCGTTTACTCAAACTTGAACGAACTCCTTGTAAGTGGTGTTCAATGTTCAGCTAGTATAACTTCGCGTTTTTCTCAAGTATCATTCATTCGCTTGCCAGAATATTAGCGTGTAGATTGCAGACAACATCAAAAGAAATTATAAGACTGATTCAAATGACTTTTAAGATTTATAAATTCTGCTGATGTTTGACGGGAAGGGAGAAAGAAAAGGAACTATTGAAGTAATGTTAACACACACGAGATAACTCGGAGAAAAAACAGAATGAAGATTATTGACATATTTTCGATACATATCAATAGAAAGATATTCGAAACATTCGATTTCAATTATGAGATTTTCGACTTGTTTATACTGGTTGAGATAAGTAAGAAGGAAGTAATTAAGAAATAGCAAAGAATAGACAAGAATACTCGATTAAGTTATTGAAGATTTTCATGGTGATGTCTTTTCTTTCGGAAAATGATTGTCTTCTTCCATTACTAGTCGAACTCATATAGGTTAGATCTTTTCAACAAAAGATCTTTCTAAGAATAACAAAAGAAAACTTCTACCCATACACTATTCTTTCTCATCATTGCTTCTTTTCTTCTTCTTCTTCTTCTTTCTTTCGTTCATTCATTCACAACTATGTCTGCTAGTGTTCAATTAAATTGGAAAGAGAAAACGCATATGCGTGCACGAGTTTGTCTAGCAGACTGAATGATGTGCAGTCGACGCTGGAGTTCTAACTACTTTGTCGAGTAACTCGAGAGAAATGTTTGTAGGAAACACGAACTATAGTTCTATTTTTTGTATTTCTGTGCTTGCTGATCATATTAGGAGACGCGTAGTAAGTCTTTAACGAGAAATGCATATATATATATACTGTAGCTTTGAGCAATGCGTGATAGACGATGGAGTCAGGCAAACATATTTTCTCGTTATCGTTCTTATTTTCTTCTATTATTACATCTCAAGAGGCAAAACCTGTGAAAAAAGTTGATTTGAGACGATTATCATTGATTGTTATATGTGAAAGAGATATTTGTTCTTCGAAAACAAAAGCAACGCCTGTTTCGCATCGAGTTTACTAAGCAAAGCAAAATTGTCATGTTTGGCTATTAGAGATTTCTGTTTTGATTAGAGTCTATTCAATAGACAGAATAGAAAAATGTGCGTTGCCAGCCATTTTTATTAAATTGTCACGTTTGCAATTGAATGCATGTGTAATAATGATCATATTTTTCTCGGTTTTCTTTCTTCTTTCGCTCTCGTTTGAATTTCGTCTAGCGAAGCATAAAAATTACTTTGATCTTTAGGAGAACAGAAGAGTTTTGCTGAATCACATAAGTGTCGAGATGTGAATGAGTCGAGTTTGCAAGAGGACTATCTTGACAAACGATTTCTGTTTGTATTTTAATATTTATAGAACGAAATGTCAAGATATTTGATCATTATTTTGAATATTTACGACCTTTTAGCATATGGAAATCTTAGTCAATGAGTTAACAAGGGACAACATGTGTCCAACGAATGTTTCGTTTACTTGATTGATAAAATCGAAAATTTCCGAAATGAAAATGTTCTCACCTATCGATGATTAATCATCTAATGTAAAGATATATTAAATCGCTAATGTCTCTTTTTCTTTTTCATTCTTAGTTCTACTCACGCATGTTCCAATGGGAACTGGTCCGTCATCGTCCAATAGTTCATCCTCATCAGGTGGAATCTCCAGTGAATGTTATAAACAAGCCCGTGAAGAATTTGACAAACGTTATGCATCACCGGCGGTATTTCAATTAGTTTATCGTGATTTTCAAATCAGTCGACCACTCGGTCGAGGCGCATTCGGTTCTGTTAAAGAAGTCAAATGCGTTCGTGATCCTATACCTGATTATCTTCAAGTAACAAATTCAGCTGATTCAACCGTCAAATCACAACGAATCGCCTTGAAAATTATCAACAAAAAAAGTGCACATAAGATGAAACAAGAAGAACATGTCGTTAATGAAAAGCGCATTTTACAAGCCTTGAATTTCCCATTTATCATTCGATTCTATTTCTCATTTAAAGACAATGCTAATCTGTATATCGGATTGGAATTAATCGAAGGCGGAGAAATGTTTCGACATTTACGTGATTGTGAACGATTTGATGAAAAAAAAGCTAAATTCTATGCATCTCAAATAGTTCTCGCACTTGAATATCTTCATTTATTGGGAATTGTTTATCGTGATCTCAAAGTAAGTCTTCTTTTGTCTTCTCGGATAGATTTATTTGTATGTCGATCATTCCAGCCCGAAAATTTGCTCATCGATCGTTATGGTTATGTAAAAATGTGTGATTTCGGTAAATAATCGAGTTTTTTATTTTTTAAAAATAGAAATCTTTTTTTTCCTTCTCTCGGAAGGCTTCGCGAAGAAAATTGATCGAGGAAAAGCGTACACTCTTTGCGGTACACCTGAATTTCTCGCGCCGGAAATCATTCTTGGTCGTGGTTACAATATGGGTGTTGATTACTGGGCATTGGGCGTGTTAATATACGAAATGAACGCTGGCAATTCACCATTTTGGGTAAATATTTTCGACAACCATGAGTATGTCGTATTCATCTGTTTTCGATTGTTTCAGGATGCAGATCAACAGAAGATTTATCATAAGATTATCAATGCGAAATTTCGACCTCGATCATTCTTTTCCGATAACTTAATTGATGTCATCAAAGGTTTGTTACAGAAGGACTTAACCAAACGACTTGGCCTGATGTTTAACGGAATCAGTGATATAAAAAAGCATGCCTGGTTTCGTGATATTGATTGGCTACAGATATTTTTGAAGAAGTTACGCGCACCGTGGGTACCTGATATACGTGCAAATAACTTTCCGGACGCTGAAGATGAAGAACCTGCTCGCTCATCAATCAACTTATTCGAGAAAGAATTTCAAGATTTTTAACGAACGAGAAAAAGACTTTGTCATATTTATTTTTTTTCCGTTGTCACGTTCCTTCTTTTTCGTCAATCGGTGTATGTGTGTCTAATTTGCAATGTCTTTCTTTTTATTTTTTTGTCTCTTGAATTCAATATCTACTTTCTCTAATCAACTATAAACTATCCGACGCTCATTGCTGGATGAAATTGATCTATATACCATTCGATGAGAAAGCCAATACAAGGAGTCTCCATTGGAATGTGTTTAGTTACCCTTGCGTCGAGCAAGAATACTTTCTGTTAATCCGTATATCATAATATTCTTATCTCGAAAGAGCATAACGTAAATGAATCAACATCTCGAGTGTTCGGAATCGCAAGGCAAATATTGAAACGAAGACTTCATTGCTGAATCCGATGATTTGTTTAACCATTCTGACTTACTTAAAGGGTTTGGTATGTTCGATAATTGATTGTGCTTTTAACTTCAATCTTGGTGCATGTTTCTCATCGAAATTATTATCGAAAGCATTTGCGAGAAGTAAAATTTCGTTCGATTAAGGATGTTGATGCGATAGAATGACATATGCTTCTTATCGTTCTTTGTCCGCGCTGTTATTCACTTGCATCTCGGAATTATCAACAAGGTAAATGACAAGAAATGACTATTTTTCTTTCTCGATATAAAAATGTCAATTTGTCTCATTGAATTTATTGTTCTTCTATCATAATAATAACGCGAAGTGTACATGATTCAAGTAAGTGATTACAATGCAGTCGAACATAGCGTAGAGATTGATCTTATTTGATGCTCAAGTTCAGACACGGATCAGGGAATGCCAAGATAGATTAGGATAAAACAAAGACTAATAGTGTCAGCAGACATCCGGAGGTGCAATGTGACCGAAAGTGTAATTTGATTCAATTCACTTTGACTTCTAACATATTTGTCAAAATGACCCTCAAGCCAATCTTTTAGTGGTAATGGAATCGCCATAGTATCAATAGAAAGAATGAGAGATAATATTGCAAGAGTCTAGCTACCCATCCGTATCAAATGACTTAGAAAGAATTTTCGATCGGTAAAATGATCATGATGTGTATATGATAGCAGATATATTGCAAAAATGTCGTTATTATTAAAAAATTTGGTTAAGTTTCTACATTCACGTCTCAACTGTAGAATATATACATGGTTAATTATAATTTAGTTTTTAACTATTGCTTTTCTTACTCTAAAAGAATACATGATAATATGCAGAGTTATTTCGTCTAAGAAAATAGTGATACTTGCACGGCGCACGAGGGCAGATTTCTTCATATTTGAATCGAATGGTGGGGAGATTGTTTGTCAATCCGGTGTCACGATGATTTGATTAGAATCATTTTTGGTTTCCACATCGTAGAAATATCTCCGTTCCAGGCTCACAAGTAGCGTTGTTTCGATTTAGTTCACTTCTACCATAATTTACTGCTCACGATCAATAGTTAAGAGATTGCAAATCAATTCGTATGAATCTCTGTCAGTGATTATGGACATGGGAATAATCAAGATCTTCAGACCTATGCATTTACACTACATTTTACACAGACAAATCAATAGTACTTACTCAACTAACAAATATGATTCTCAATTATCTTTACGCTAAAGCATATGTCACCCGAGAACTCTTTACGGATTGTGATGGGTATATCCATTGGAAAATCCAAGTAATAGTTATTTATTTCCCTTGTAGTCGAATTCATTGACCTGTAAGGAGTGATCTATGAGTTAATTTAGACATATTGTGACACTTAGAACGCGGAATATGTAAATACCGTTATCCTTCGCTCTTGTTGGACTTTTTTTCGGTCTATTATCTAAAATCAACCAAGTCTAATGGTGTTCTTTTTAGAATCAGAAATAACATCGTTTGCCCGATCTTCTCGGTGCAATCGTTGAGTCGAAACAGATGTGAATGAGTTGATTTTAGTATGGAATGCTTCTAATCTTGTCTGTCTCCATTCTTTATGTTTATTTTAGAACTAACCATCATTTATGCCATTCGAAATAACATTTCGTTTCTCTCATCAATAAAGTTCTCTTTCCAATCTACAGGTAAAATTCGCTTTATCTCCACTTTGTTATGTCATTTTCTTATCATCATTCAAGAAACAGATGCCTCTGTCAAGTAAGACAAACTGATCCTCTTCGACTCAAACATCGGTTTTCCATTCACTGTGGTATTCTAGTCAAAAAATTTCTGACAAACTGTGCTACCGATACATTCCTCACGTATTCAACTGTGAAAGTTGTGCAAGTACCAAATACATGTGTTGCTTCAGTATATCGCGTTATTCAATGTGTTATTATTGCTTATATTGCATTGTGTGTTGATGACACAGTGGCGATCCGAGTGTAATGTGTTTCCTTTACTTTTTAGCTATATTGTATGGTACAAGAAAGGTTACCAGCAATTTCAGGAGCCACGTGGGACAAGTATTATCAAAGTGAAAGGAATTACCAAAGTCACAGGAAATAACAGCATCCAATTCACAAGTATGCGTGCATAAGAACCTCTTAGACAAATCAAAGTTCGGACTTTTCGTTCTTAAGAGCCATCTTCATCGTATTTATGGGATACACCTGAATATCAGATTCCACCATTGGTAAACACGAGGAAAATATTGAATATATCTTTTTCTGTGTTTTTAATTTCTATTAATTGTAGGAAAATAACGCATTTTTCATTGCTACACGGCAGATAGTCACTCATAATCAAACACAAAGAAATTGTGATAGTGTGAGTAGCGAATAAGTATTCTTGACAACGAAATTGCTCTTTCAATCTTAGGCGATGGATGACAAACTGTTTTGCACACATGACAGCAATTGTACGCAAGACCAGCCGACGCCAAATACATTTGGTAAATCACTTCAGCCATGCGATAGTAACAGTAATCTCATATTTCAGGTTATTACACGGGCAATTGTGTTTCTAGTTCAACTAATTCTTCAGTAAAAGTCTGTGAAATCAACGCCTGGTGTCCCGAAGAACTAACTAGATCTGTGTATGACGAGCATCATATTTTTATATTTCAAATCTAATTCGATTATTTATTAAGTGAGTATGTGGCAAACGCAAATGATATTCAAGATTTCACAGTCTATCTGAAAACGATGGTAACATTTACATTATTTGATATCAATATGTTTGTTTCAATGATGAGAGTATGCTTGAGAAAATTCCATGAAAATTCTTTGTGATCGTAGGAGAAATGTTCGTGACGACACGAATTTTTCATGTCGATATGATAAACATTCAAATCCACGTTGTCCCATTTTACGAATCGGTGATATTCTTAATACATTGAACACGAACAAATCTGCTCTTTTACGAGAGGTAAATTCAAAGTTTGGAAAGCATTGCAGCCGTGAGCAAATGATTTAGGGTGGTCTAATCGAAATTCGACAAGATTGGACGTGTAATTTTGACTTTGATGCTGATAAATGCTATCCAACACTTGCATTTAGTTTATTGCAAAGCGGCGATGATAAACAATCACCCGGCGTTAACTATCGGTAAGTGTATATCGTTCCATCGATTTTGTTGATCATCTACTTCGCAGATCTGCTCAAAAATATCGCGTCGATGATGAAGATTATCGAATTCTATCAAAAATCTATGGTTTACGTTTCGTTCTTGCGATAACCGGGAAAAGTGGACAATTTGATATTGTGAATTTATTTGTAGCGATTGGTGAGCTTCAATGGGAATTCTTGTCTTTGAAAATATGCATTTCGCGCAGGTTCTGGCATTGGTTTTATGGTCATAGCAGACATTGTATGTGATGCAATCTTTATGTACATCCACCGATCTCGAAAGAAATATCGTGAAGGCAAATTCAAGACTTGTAATATCAAATTATCCAAAATAGATCATGCTAAATATCCTGTATGTGACTAGCTTCAACTTTGAAAAGTGTATATATTGTGTTTGTGTTTAGACGTCACGAACATCGTTGAGTGAAGGTGATGAAACGTCAATTTATAAAATACATTTTTGAACGTACGTGGTTGTTTCCTAATTTTTTTTTCTATGAATTGTTAAATGAAAATAAAATGACAAAAATTGTTTATCTACATTTCAATTGAAATCGTTGCTTTTGGGATTGTTCGCTTTGAAGCAAAGAAAAAACAAACATAAGATAATTTGTTTCTATGTACAACAATGATTTGTGGGGAAATTCTCATCGGCGACTGATTAAACGTAAATATGATGGATCAAACAAATGTTGATTATTTGGCGGTGACAAATTTCCTGTTGAGTGGCGAGTTAATGCACTACGCAGAATGTCTTCATTGACAATCAATACAGACGATGAATCGATGTGATTATTGTTATTATCACATTGATTCTGTTGACGACGGCGATGACGAAGTTCGTGTGGTTTGAATGTGATTTCATTGGTTGCGTTAACCGTGTGTGCTAAACGCAGATCAACCAACGTCTGAACAACATCTTCAAGACAAATTCCGGTGTCCAAACTAAATTCGAAAGGAAGTCAATGTAGAGAATCGATTTTGAAGTTAGGAAGACCAACCTGAGTTGCGAAACTGGCACATGCATTTGTAAACGACGGTATTCTTCAAGTTTGGCTAGAATAGTCGAGTGCCAATAACTTTTGTACGTCATCTGACCAAGAGCAGAAAGAGGTTTTTCAGGTGAACCTGTTTTCTTTTCTAATTTTGTTAATTCATAACCTAAATCAAACTTATGCGTAATGATCGCTTGGTTTTAACAGTGAAATTTTACTTAATGCAATCAAAAACCGTCCGAACCCGTGTCTTTGCCGATGTGGTAACACCTAGACATGAGAAAATCAATAAAATAAACTCGAATTCACTTCTTTACCATCAAACAAGCCAAATTGTAAAACTCATCGCTGAGTTTTTCCTACAAAAATCAAACAGAAACTATTTGAGAGACAATTCTTCATCCCTACCTTTGAAAAATAGCCAATAATATGTTGAAGATTTTTGTTTCGTTTATCAGCTTCTACCAACACGTAGAAGAGGAAAGGTTCAACATCAAAGTAGATTGTTTTGCGCTCGAGAAATAACTTCGCCAATAAGCAAAGACATTGACAATAAAGTTGAGCTGCAGTTCCATCAACTTCATAGACGGATAAACCATCCGGATGTTCGTAAATCTTCCGACCTGGAGGATGACGTCGAGTACATTCATTCTAAAATAGAATTTCTATTCATATAACGTCTCCAGTCAAAATTCTTCGTACAGTATGCTGCCGGTATTTTCGATTGTTGAGAAAATAACGTAAACATTGCTCGCAAATATACAATTTTTCGATCGTTCGATCTTTTTCACTTGAACCTTCTTCCGCGTCGATATAAGGCGAATGAAACCAGCAGTCGATATCAACTTGACCTAAGCGAATCGACGAGATATGTTTTGTATTATCAGGAATCTAAACAAGCATTCGAAACATCTCTCCTTCTTGTAAAGCAAAAACATCAGTCATCTTACATCCAGTTGATCATCATCACTCATAGAATCATCGTCAGCCATGATCTAAAAGACAATTTATAATGTTAATAAATACTTTTGTGACCAAAACCGGTTCACAAAAAAACTTCTCTAAAATAGCACCCAGATATTTTATTCGAATAAATGAGACGGAGAAAACAAAAGAAAAAGGTTTGTCAATGTTATCACCAAAGGTATGGTATTGCGGACGTTAGACTGCACGGAAGAAAACTATTCAAAATTCATCTTTGCTCAACTTTGCGTCGTGTTGTTCGATTGATAGACTCGGCTGAGAGTATTTCGATCGTTTCGCGGAACGATAAGCCGGGTGTTCTTTCACATATTTAACCATTCTGCGTACAATATGAGCAAATTCATGTTTATCAAACGCGTAATTCGTGAATTTCTTATGTGGAGTGCCCAATGTTGGATGTTTGCCTTCATCTTGCGGATAAGCTTTCTCTTCATTCTCCCACGTGAAGTATTTGACACCACGAAGACGAGCAAGATCTTGATAACAATCTTTATCTTCACAATTATGGATCTCGAAAATTGTCGCCCAGTCAGGTAAAAAGAGCAAATGAGTTAAACCAGCACCGTGCATTCCTAGAAAAAAAAGAACAAGAAAAGTCAGACAGAATTCGAAAACCATTCATTCATTGTCAATGGGTGATCATTCGTGCAAAAAACACAATCAAACTTCGTCTCTCAATCGGGTGATTAGTACTAACTGAATGAGTATTTTAAATACAGTGTTCAATCTTAGCTAAAGCAGCTGACAAATATTGAAAAATATTTACTTATTCATGAAGTATCTAAAACATAAGTAGATATATTCAAATATTGTCTGTCTTGAACAATACTTACCCATGAAAATATCTGTATTATGAGTAATATTTAATTGTTGAATAAATGGCATGTTGATATTATAATCTACCACATTAATAAGGTAATCATTATTTCCATTACTGGAGATATTTCTCAAATGTTCAACAATTTCATTGACATTGAGAATTTGACGGAATTGTGTCGTTCGATTCAGTAATGTTATACGTATTTGATTAGATTTCAATGGACCTAACTGTGGGATTCGAAGTCGATGGATTAGGTATTGCTGGAATGAACGAAAGAGACTTGTTTGGGTGCATCCTGGTACCAATGGCATATTGTAATAGAAACCTAAATTATAGTTTTGAAATAAGTCGAGATATGAAGTTTTGTCTTACCGAAAAACATTCGAGCAAGAAACGAAAACACGACATTTTCGAAACATACACGTTTGCCTTCGAATTCTTTGATATGTATCAGCTGGTTCGATGTAAATGCATTCCACGTTGATGAAAAGAAACTCCAATAATCATTACTGCTCGTATCCCATAGGATAATCTGTACATCTTTTGTAAATGTATTGTTCATGTGTTGAGAGACGTATAAATTGATGAAATCACAAAAATGATGGTACATGTTGTAGCCACTATCAAGTTTGATAAATATCGTTGGTTTTGTTATGGTTAGATCACATTGGAATGAATCGGTTTCATTGATTTCCTTGAATACTTGCAATTCTGAAAACCAACTTTGTAATGGACTTTTGTGATCACCATTTTTCATGAAATCATCGTGATGTAATTTGCAATAGCCGCCAATATCACCGAATTTGAGAATATCTTCCCGGTATCGGTTGTGATGTTTCGATGTTTCTGTATGTCGAAAATCGATGTAGATATTTCTAGCTCGACAAAAACGTAAATGATCAACACATTCTAATGAAGACGACGGTGATGGTGAACACATTTCTCTCAATTCCTTGCGTTTTTCTGCGATATAACCAAAATCAGCTGTACGCCAAAACTGTGTCAATTGTTCTTCTTTTGTCTTGGTCCATCCACGACTATCCTCAAGACATTGAACAAGCGGAGCAATATTTTTACAATCAGGTTCATAACCCCAACAAGCTACATTCGGTGACGGAAGGTTTTGAGCTTGCTCGTAATAAGGACATTGATCTTTGTCCGCGAGGCATTGGGCATGAATAGAAGGATTACTTGTGAAGAAGTAGGTTGAATGTTCGGAAGGAATATCAAGATCAGACCATTTGTAACTATCAACGAAAACAATGACGAGGAATGTCAAGAAGTATATGAACAACATCTAAAAACCAAAGAAGAGTTAGATATGGATTGTTTTTTTTAGCAAGAAAATGAAAAAGACATGGGAAGATGTGGAAAGTTCTTATTTCGTGGTTGGCGCCGCAAGATTTCGTCGTAATTCACGATCGTAGAACATATAACGTTCAGATTGATTATTGCCTTTGAATTCGAGTTTGTCTACGTGCCACCTAAACGAGAAAAAAATATCTCTTGCTTTTTCTTTCGTATTTGGCCTTCGTATTAAATAGTATCAAACACTACTAATCGCTATTTAATGATCATACCACCAATGGTATGAAAAAAAGACGTATTTGCTTTGGAAATATGACTTACTCATCATCAACTGAGTCTCTTGTTGCATAACAGTAAATGATTCCCGTCCGTTCAGCGCCACGAATTGGTATTTCGACCTAAATGATATATCTTTTTTTGTAAGCAGAAAACCCAACAACAAATTCGATTTCTTTGGATGCTGTTGTTTTTTATTCAACACAGAAAACAAAACAAAACGAGTAAATCACGCCTTAGTGCTATTTGATGACGCTTGTCGTCGGTTTTTCAAACGTTCTTTACTCTTTGTTGCTACTGGTTCATATTCAAGTTCCAATTTGCGTTTCTTCGATGAAGGAAGTGCTTTCACAAGTTCTTCTTCGATTTCGTCCTCATCGAAATCACCCATATCTTCAATATCTTCTGCATCACTTTCTTCGAAATCTTCCACGTATTCGACTTCTTCATTTTCATCTTCTTCATCATCGTCGTCTTCTTTTTCTTTTTCTTCCTCATCTTCACTTTCCGTTTCTTCCTCTTCATCTTCTTCCACTATAAAACGAATTCAATGTTTTCATTTCTCGTGAAAACCTTCTCGTCATTACTCACTCGAAATCGTATTCATTGGAAATGAGTATGTATCACCATACGTTCCTTTTTTCAATCGTTCTAACAATTCGTTTTCAATAGCACGATCGATATTCGCGGCGACAAATGCTTTGTCTTCGTGACGTTGTTCTCTTCGTTCGGCTTTCTTCTTGATTGGTACCAGTTCTTGTTTAGCTGTTTTCTTCAACATTAAACGACGAGTTCGAATAACGTATTGAGTCAATTTTGTTAAACGTTGCTTGCATTTGTGACGAACGAATCGTGGCCAATAGATCAAGTGTTCATTGATTTGTTTCAATGCACGAAGATAGTTTTCATGCAACTTCACTTTTTCCCATTGTTTTTTTGGATAATGGGAACGTTCGACAACTTTCATGTAGAGATATAGAATGCCTTTTTCTTCACGAACAGTTGCGTATTGAGAATTGGCTAATGGACATGAACGACGATCGCACAAGCCAGTTAAACTGTATTCATTGGAGCAAAAGATTTGAGTTTTACTCTTCTGTTGTTTATACGAACAAAATTGTCCATTGAGAACTGACCAAATGACATCATCGTGTTGCATTTTTCTACAGAGATTTTAGATATTTTATCTAGAATGAACAAATGACCCTGTTCCTTGAACTTTACACTGAGCCGGATTAGTGTATGTATAGAATTTATTTTCATTATCATAAGAGAACGAAAGTATCGCGCAAGATTTGAACTTACTTGTGCACCAAGAGATGACAATATATTAAATTTACTTGTCGTATCAATTTGAAGCGGTTCGATAGGTTCGACTAATCTATCTGTGATTGGTTTATAACCATGTGTTAATTGAAGTGCTTCTTGATAAAATGCCGCTTGAAGAAAGAGGTCTAAATTTCAGGTTCGTAGATGAAGAAAATATGAAGACATGTTTGATTTATACTTCGAGCTTTCTGTCGAGCACGAATTTGGGCATAAAATACAGCGCTTGAACCAGCAAGACCGATTGCAGCAGCAACGAATACTAATGGGTGTCCCCAGCGGGATGGTCTAACTTTGGGCAAAGCTTTTCTATCATTTGAAGACATTTCAAAGGATTAACTATAAAACCGAAATAGTTCTAATGCGTGTGAAAGATTCTGTTTTGTCGTAATTCTTTCCTTCTACTGCACAACGCACGACACTTGGTAAACAATCTTATTGAGTAGCCGTATTGTGCATATTGACCAATCGTATTCAAGTTACCAGTATATTTGTTTACTAGCGACATCTTGTGAAACAACGGAATACTTTATTAAAATTATCAACAATAAAGAAAACTCTGCTATACATATTGTTTTTATACTGTTGGCAAACTTCGTCGTTGTCGAACAGGTCGAATTGGAGGAAATTGAACTCGTTTGTTGTGAATCGATGAATACAACTCATCAATTCGTGTCCTCAATACTGATGGTCCACAAATATACGTTCGTAAAACATCCAAACAAGGCGCTTGAACACGACATCTAATTTGATAGAAACTAAATTATTTACCAGTGAAAGTTATAGATAACATACTGTTTCAATAATCGTCGTTGTCCTTCGGGCGAATGTCGAATGAGACAATCGATAGTTAAAGCTGCACTACCGTGTAGAAGTGCATTCGAACTATTCAATAACGAAATCAGATGATCGAGACCATCACTAGCGATGATCGCTTCACAAACGCCTGTATTAACAAAAAAGAAGAACAAGCAAAAGCTGGCATACAACAGCTTGTTATTTATGCTTCATGCAAATAATATTAAACATCTCTTCAAACCTGAATGCTTGTGTATTCCGAAGCCTGTAGGAATATGTGCTAATCGGCCTATAATATCAGTTGGAAGAAGTTTATCTTCATCATCAACACGTGGATCACCAATAACTCGGAATAAGATCAGTAAAGCTCGACCGATCCATTCTGCTGCAACTGTCTCGTTGATCAATCGAATCACAATAATCATCTAAAACAATTCGATCGCAACGTTGATCTCATACTCAAACTCGTTCGTTTACTTGAAACGCTGCATTGCAACGAATGACGATATTTTCCGATGTTAACAGCGGACGAAAATGTTCGAGATCAAGAGATAACTCTTCGGAATATAGATTGTAATGATGTTCATCATTACATATAAATGTAACTAATCTAAAACTCAATACTTAATTACTTACGAATGATTTCAATACTTTTTTCCATTACCCAGCTCCAGCTTCGACCTGGACAATTTCTTCAGATGCATTGAGTAGCGATGCAATACGTTTAAACAGCTGTCGAACTGTTTCTTTAGTTAGTATGTCCTTATTCTCTTTGTGATCTAAAAGAGACGTATGAAACGAAAAGCTTGATTCAATTGAAGATTTTACCGAACACTGCATAAGCAATGGTTGTAATTGCTTTAGCTTGCAATAATTTCTCCTTATTTGACCGACGAATTAACGTTAGAAGTTGATTGATGCCGTTTGCTTTTTGAAATATTGTTTGGTTCGCTCGACAAGGACGAAAAGTCGGTAAAAGACATAACTGTTGGATACAAAATAAACATTTGAAGAGTATTCGTTGTTCTGAATCAGCTGATAATAGTCGAACTATGGGAGGAATGCAATGTCGGCGACCGAAAATAACCGGAATGTTTTCCGCTTCGGTCGGAATTCGTCGAAGAAGTTCACTGATCGCATCAAGAACAACGTACAATTGATCGCTTACTTTTAAATTCAAAAATTCAACTAAAGCCATCACTCCGATCGAATCTAGAAGAGAAAAGATTGAAGAGAACTATGATGAACTTAATCAAATTTACAAGCCATCGATTGTCGTCGAGGTAGTTCATTGAGTGTCAATGACCATAGTGTGCATATAATTGAGATGCGTAGTTTTGGTAAAGTGGCTTTGCTTAATAAGATAAGCAGTTGTTCAGCACCCCCTTGGTCTAAAATAATCTGTTGAGATGTCGTGCTTTGCGTGACAAACATCTGAAAATAGAACAGTTTTCTTCTTTAGAAATCTTTCGTCTGACAGCTTTTACTTGAAGTGTATCGACACTTGAACGTTGGACGTCTCTATAAGGTGAATTGAGTGCGGTTAGCAAATGTGCAATTAACTGTCGATTATCCGCACATATTTGCTGATGATGTTCATTCTGTAGACATAATTCTCGAATGAAATGAAGAATTGATGTTGTCAAACGGCGATCGAATCTTCCCAACAGCTCAATCGCTTGCTCAAGAATAGTTAGTTTGGTTGCCGAAGATTTTTGTATTAAGATTTGGAAATCTTGCTTACATCGGGCAATTTTACCGAGAATATCAAAATACAGACAGGCTTGAGTTTTCGGAATGTTCATCGTATCATTGCCTAAAAGAATTTGTATGTCACCAATGAGGTGGTGATGAACAAATGCTTGAATGGCACGTGTATCATCACAGAATTCGCAAACAATTTGAGAAAACAAGAGTGTTAGGATATCATTTGTTTTACGCATTTTCACCAATGCGCGTGCGTTCTCATCGGATTGATTAAAGACAATTCGAATATTCGTATCGATGCTCAAAAGATTGTAGAGTATAATTAAACAGCTGGTAAGCAATTGTTCGTTTCGATGATGAGTGTTGTTAACAGTTTGAATGAGAACTTGAAATGTTCTCTCGATCGGACGTAGATTCATCAGATGTACCCAAGCAACTTTGATATATTTAGGTGACGTTAATTGTTCGAGTATGCGACCTGCAGCCGTTGACTCATCGGAGTTTTTCGACGTAAACATCGTCATTAATGTATTCCATATATCGAGTTCGTTTGCATACGACGCCTGTGAAAAATAGAGAAGTAACTCAACGTTCTGCTTTAAAATTGCGATGGCAGCCATAGAACGATTTTCACCATCGCGACATGTAACTTTCGCCCCGTGGTTGATTAAACATTCAATTGTACGACGGGCATTACCGACTGTTGCAGCTAAGATTGGTGTTAAACGAAAATAATCGTATGTCGTAGCATCGAGCATCTCTTGTATTCGAGCTTGATGAAGACGATCAGTCCGTTCATCACTCCCATCATCTGCTCTTAATCGGCCATCATCGTTATCTTCGTTTCCATCTTTTGAACAAAGATTCGCGAGAATTCGTTCGACGACAGCGTCATAATTACGAAACGATGCTTCATGAATAGGCAAACGCCCTTCATTGTTGTACTCCTGTGCCATAACTTCAGTTTCACTGGATGTTGTATAAACTAAATGCAGGTACGTTTTGTATACTTGTCCAAATAGAAGATTGTTACTGCCCTTGTCGCTGCATTATATGCTTTTTTTAATACAAAATCAAAATTCAATGAAAGAGAAGTTCTGTAATTCTATTTTCGAGTATTGTTCTTTTCATATTGAATTATTTTTTATTTGCTTCTAAGTTTTCATTTGATGCATGTATAATCTTCAATATTTTCTTTTCTCTTCCTTTTTTTTCTGACGACAGAAGTGTCTTTGTATACATTTAAAAAGTAAATAAAAGATTGTTCGTGTATGGCAGAACGAAAAGAGAAAATGAAAAAAAAAAGGAATTTGCTGTGGAATCTGAGTACTTACTGCGTCGTTTAATATATGTGTCGAATTTGATCGAACAAATGAAATTATAATCGTTTTCTTTGATCTTGATCAATTTGTTTTGCACTGCCTAAGCTGACTCGAAGTTTCGTCTCTTTAACAACAATAACAACAACAACAACAAAACGAGAGAATTGAAATCCATCAGCGAGCTATTTCAAACGACATCGAAAGCATACAGAGAGCATTTCATTTCGAGCAATGACATCAGCGCACAGGTAAACCTTCGACATAAATTTCCTCTAGTTCCCTTCGATTATCTGTTTTACCTAGTGCGAGAGGATCGGCATCGTCGCGAGGTGCTGAATCGATCGACGATGGTCTCCGATCATCAACAACTTACGATGACAATGGATTTCTACCAATTCATCGAGCAGTCTTTAGCGGTTATGAAATGACACTAAAAAATATCTTAGATGACGCTCAGAAACGTAATGAACTCAATCAACAATTAGAAATCAAAACTGAGCGAACAGACTTAACACCTCTATTATTAGCTGTGACTGCTGGGCGAATACAGATGATTTCATTTCTGTTAAAATACTCTGTAAATATCAATGCAGTTGATGCCAACGGAAATGGTAAGCCTTTAAACGAGAAGAAAGTAAATAAAAACGTTGTCGATTGTTTTTCTTCGCATTTTATAGGCATCATTGCAATTGCTGCGCTGTCACAGAACGAGCGTGTACTTCGTTATCTGATCGAATATTTTCTCACGGAAAATTCGTACAATGTTTGGAAACCTTTAGTCAAACTCTATACTTCATTAAGTGAAGATGAAAGTAGTATCGGTGGTCGTGCACTTGAGTCACTAACTCGTTCGAAAGCCGATACAAATGACGCAAGTCCATATTGGGAGTTTATTATAAATAACGGACTCATTCCAGCAATAGTAGATACGCTTACCGAGTCAAAGAATGAAGATACATTGATTAGTACGTATATGATCCTGTTGAATGCAATTGATGAACAACCACGTGTTCTTCATGAATTAATACAGAATAGGAAAGCATTCAGTGCCATGTTAAAACATACACATTCAAGGAATACACAAATTGTCACATTATTAGGTCGATTATTAGCATTGCTGAGTAAGACAAGAACTTTCGGTCAGCCAATGGTCGACTATGGACTGTTCGAACCAGTGATGAGTTTAATCGACAAGGAGCGCACGCCTGAAATCATTGCTTCTTATTTCGATTGTATGGCAAATGTTGTTTCCTACGCACCGGTTTACCAAGTTCAAATTGCAAATTATCCATTATTTCTTCCTGTACTGATAAATCATTATCTAGAAGAATATGATTTAGATTTATCGTTAGCTGTTATGGGTTTCATTCGTCAACTAGTGCATGAAAACGAAGAAGTTCAAAATTTACTTGCACAAAATGGCGCATGTGAGCATATCATCGGTGCTTTGACAGCGTCATCAAAAGAATTACAACAGATTGCTATTGAGACTATTCGAGCGTTTACAGAAAATAATCCACAGACTCAATACATTATGATACGAGAAAATGCCTTCGAACAATTATTGGGTTTACTTGAGAAGACTAGTGTGGCTAGTTTGCAGATTGCCATTGTTCGAACATTATGGACATTGTGTGGGACAAATTCATCGCGTAAGCGGGATGTCGCAACGCGAATTGGTGTGAAAAGATTGATTAGCTATTACGGTCTCAAATCTGGTGAACATTTACTTGCATTAACTGATATTCTAACAGAATTGACAAAACGTTCAGCAAGTGTGAAGATAAATATCTCCGACGAAATCAATCGTGCAGTTGGAATTCCTCCGATAATACGATTATTAACATCGAATAATGAACTACTCGTTCTCAGTGCTCTACGAGAGCTACAACTACTCGCTTGTGCACCGGGCTTCATTCCAAATCTGTTGAATCAAGAGACTATTGTTAAATTTGGTGGTATCCGATTTCTTGTTGCTTTGATGATGCATGTTAAAAGTGAAGAGATTCAAGTTGAAGCTGCTCAGACACTCGCTTGTATTGCTCTAGGTATAAAACGAAGAATTTGATGGAGTTTTGAATGCGATCTTTGTGATTTTTTTTTAGCAAATAGTCAATGTTTAACACAGATTGAAACGACGTTGGATTTCTCCTATACACGTTTGTTTACTCTAATGGAATCAAGCGATCCGATTGTTCAATTGAAAGCATCCAATGTTCTAGCCACATTCATCTATAACAACCGCCGACTGGAAGAATTTCTTGTTCAACAATATCAATTTCCATTCGTTTACTTTCAACGATTTCTCGAACACAATAATACTCATGTTCGATGTGTAGCTGCATTTCAAGTTTGTGTCTCTCTCTCTTTCTGTTCTAATGATTTCAGTGAATGTTGAATCTGCCGTAGGTTGTGGTTTTAGCGAATCTGATTCCAGAGCAATCCCAAGCAATCAACACTGCTATTGGATGTGGAGTATTGATGGATGTTCTGCGCATGTCTAAATCAGATGATGGAAAATCTGATGCAGCTGAATGCCTTTGTCGTCTTTCACATATGAAATCAAGTAAATAAGCTAAAATTCGTTCATTTGATCTATACTGTTCACGATTTAGCACTTTTCCTAACTTTCGAATGTTTAATTATAGTTACAAAAGTGTATTAATACACAGGTGACATTATTTAAATACTCTTGCATGTTTTTTTCTCGCTTGCATTCTTCTCGTTCTTCGCGCGCTAAACTTTTTGCATGCAAAGCTTTGTCAAAAGAAAACCTTTTTCAGGTGTTCCACATGCATTGATTGCGGCGAATGCCATTGATTGCCTGTGTGATTTGTTTTCATCGAAGAATGACACAACAATTGGTGTGGCATCGATTGCATTAGGATATTTATCGTACATTCACGAAGGAGAACGAAAATTATTGCATAGGTAATCGGAAGAATCGATTTTCACTTTGAGATATTCTTTTAAATCAAGATGCCGAGGGGAATTGGACATAATGGCTTTCCTTAAAGTTTACAATTGCTTACCTGGTCAACCATCCCGTTTATCAAAACACTTACTTGAATCTTGGGACCGATACAGTGTGTTAAAACTGCCTAAATTACGGTGGGATGTGTATTTTATGCACGCAAGATCTATTTTCGACTTTTCTAGGTCACGTGGATCGAATGTTCGATACTATCAAGTGTTTTCCAATAATATCGAACGATTACGCGTTCCATCATCTACAACAGTTGAAAAAGAATCCAACAGATCTTCTCCAGTCAAATTCTATTTACCACCTATCCGTTCGAAAGTTCACTAGTCGTGTCTATTTCTACATAATACTACTAAAAACGAACACAATACATGATTCTTTTTTTCTAAACTGACGTAGCAAAAAGATTGGATTATTCAGATTATCAGCTGTCTGATAAGATTACTCTTGATAGTGTCTATTTAAAAGTCGAAAATGAATTTGTATACAGCAGACAAGCAACTAATAGTACGTGGGCACGTGTCCTTAAAATTACTGTTGTAGACTATTGTTGAATAATATAAGAGATTATCGTTGACATGACAGAAGCAGTGCAATTAACTTCGCGTGAAAGGTTCGCAAACACGAAGCATATCTAGATCATAATATGCCAAACGGCAGTCTGTAATTAAAACGATTCGTCATGCCTAATAATCGAACATCATGCCAAGAAGTAAAAGTTTTGTTGTTGCTGTCGTTGTTATTTTTTGGCGAAAAGAAAAAAAAACACTAATTTCAAATTAACAATCAACAAAATAATGCACAAGAGTAATTTGATATTAGAACTGTCATTCCATTTGTCTTAGTAGTCAAAACAAGAACAAGATAAGCATATGAAATCCATTTATACAATATTCTTTTTCATAATGGCGAATCAAGATCGTCTACATCATGATCGATATTGTTATGAATCAACGTCTGATTATGATTTTGACTGATCGAATTTCTTAGTAACAATTCAGTGCCATTGCGCTTTTGATACGGATCCGATATTGTGTCCTGACTGCGACATATTGTTGAGTTAAGCGAAGCAAAAGTTGTCAATTGACTTTTTCGTAATATCGGTGTTGTAGTTGTTGGCAGAACGCCCTCACCGACTGTTGTCAGATTTGCCGCATTAGGTGTACTCAGACGAGCAGATGGAGGGACGACCTTCGAACAACCTGGAAGAGATAGGATCATTACGCGAAGTTCTTGTCGAAAAACGTTGGCAGTCAGAAAATAAAGTAAAAAATTGGCAGCTGTGTTCGCATAATAGATCAAAGAGAACATCGTCCATAACGACTGTGAATTTGGACCATGCAAGTTTTTAAATAAATGTCCGAAGCCCATGAATGTCGATGCGGGTGCTGTCAGAAGGATGAAGACACACGAAACTGATAAAAGCATAATGGTCATATTGCGTTGTTTCGCTTTTTTCCGTTGATTTTTCTGATTAATTCGCTCTTGAATACGTCGTGCTGATGCGATGACTTTCAAAATCAAGGAATTGAGAATTAACATGACGACGAACGGACAAAGAGTAAAGAAAAACCATTGAATGTAGCCAATCATATGCGAACGAAACCACATATACTGTGGATAATCGGATGTGATGTTACACACCCGTCGATAGATGATAGTTCGATTCATTCCTGTTGATATTTCTTTCACCGGTATCAATTGAAGTTCGTAGAAAATAGCCCAATGCAACTGGATAAAAATGGAGAAGAAACAAATCAATCCGATGATTATATAGGCATTTTTAACAGTACAATGTCGTTTGGAATAGTGATGTTTGGCAACAGCAAGATAACGTTGAACACTGACAGCAACGAGCAACGTTGGAGAGAGATTAATAAAATAATATGTAAAAAAGATGTGCAATTTGCAAGCAAGATTGCTGTGAACACGCATATTCTGTTGAGGATCAAGACGGACGAGATAGAAATTCAATACACTGAAGAACACATTACCTAAACATACGAATCGATTTGAAAACTGATCAATTGTCTAATGAGATCTTGACCTTACCTAGATCAGATAATGCTAAGGCGATGAGGTATATCGATGTAACTTGAGCTCGTAGCTTTTTTCTACTAAGTGTCAACGCAGATAGCGTATTTCCGATGCCACCGATGACAATTAGAAGACCACCGATGATTCTGACAGACCATTTGAGGGCGAGTAAACGGTTCGAATTGGCTAGTACTGTTGCAATAGACGATGTTGTCACGCTGACAGCCGACATGGAGGGTGAAGAAGGGTTTGACGACGAGTCAAATTGATAACTAAATGTTGCTTCAACCATGGTGAAATTAGAATCGAAGAAGAGCGGCTCGAGCCAGAGCACATCTTCGTTGACCATTGACATCGTCAACGACAAAAGTAAACGATAAATCAAATAAATGATGAACATAGAAGGCAAAAGTTAGTCGCGGCTTGTGTTCTCGCCGTATGACCTAAATCAATGCATGTCAATAAAGTAAGAGGATCGAAATCAATATTTGATCTTTTTTCCTTGTCTATTCCGACTGCCGAAGAAAACTCAATGCTTCACTTCAATTATACAAACCTTCTTTAGTTCTATATGTCATTCTACACATTGATTTGACTACCTATACAAGTGAACGAGTAATGTGCTTATTCTTTTTCGAAAAAAAAGACAAGCTAATAGGTTTTTCTCAGTTTGTTTCTCTTACTCATTTGTTTCATTGAAAATAATATTGGATTAAGATTATGTTTAAATATGAAGAACGCATTCGAAGAAATGTCTTTCTAATCTTGCAAGAATTGCACCGAGTATATGTAGTTATTCTTGTCTAATTTAATCTCCTTACTTTTAGCTGTTTTCCTCCTCTTCGATCGATGCTGACAAGGTATGAAATGAAAAGTGAATTAGTCAGAAGGGTAATTCTGAACTCATGATATGTTGATGCAAGCAAACTTGAATGGGAAAAGTAGGGAATGTTGCGAGGAAATCGAGGCAAAATTGTGGTTTTTTCTTTTGATGGATTTCATGTGTAGACTATTTTCTTCTCTTTGTGATATGTGTGTGTTCTTAATGCAATTTCCACGATCTTTTTTCGAACTAAATCAATTCTGTCATGAACAATTATTCGAAAGAAAAAGAATAACAAAGAACGAAGAAAAAAATATAACCCGTGCACGCATGTTTCAAAAGAAGATAAGACGTCTCACCGATGTTAACTTTTATTGCGATGATTGTCATCGTCATTTTTGATTAGTTGAACAAGTAAAGGACGAGGACAAAACTTGCATGTGGAAAAGTATTGGTTACGATCAATTTTTCTTTTCATCTCCCTTTGGACTTGATTAGAATTACATCAGTTGTCAGAAGAAGAGAACTGAGTTATGACTTGCTGCACTAAACTATCTTTTCAAATTTCGACTACGGAAAAAGAGATTTTTTTGTGTTTAACTGGAAGATTAACGAGAGAGAATGAGAAACGACGAGCAAGAACGGCTTGTGGAACTATTAATAGTACTTGACAGAAATCTCTCGCAGCAAATTAATAACGACTTGTTGCCTTATCAGTAAAATCAAACACGAATCTATGTTTTCCCATTCGACAAATGTCAGCGGGCGAAAAAAAAAGAAAAATGTTCTCACCTAGAGTAAATTCGTGGGGATAAAAATATCAATCGACGGGAAACGGGAGCTAAGATTCATTACTTGAATTCTTTCTTCTTCACTTTTGATCGAGCGGTTCTCATTCTGTTTCCTTTTCTTCTTTCTAACACGAGTGGAAAATATTTAGTGCGTTTATATGTGCATCTTATTCAAAACAAAAATGATCGACTCAAGACAGAACTGTTCCAACGGAGCTTTCTCAGGGGGATTAATGTATTATATGTTCTGTTGAGTTTTGCTCTATCTAAAAACATTAATGAGAAAAAAACGAAGAAGATGAAGAAGAAGAAGAAGAAGTATATAAATAGATCAACAACGACATTAAACATTACTGCAAGAAGTAAAGATCATTGCAAGTAGTGTTTCAATGATAATGATGTTGTTAAAAATCAATCATTTCATACAATTGATGATCTCTTAGACGTTGATTATCTTCAATCATATACGAATGTGGAAGCACAGAAAGAAGACTCGCGTTTGATTACCGATCAACAGTTGTGCAGGCATGTTTGATCATTGAAAGGAACTTCTGATTTGAATCCAAGTAGTCTGTCGACAACTTAAGATTTTCTTGTCGCTTGGGACTGTCTAGATTACTAGCGAATTCATTGTTTGAAGATGAATCTATATATCCCGGCTGGTCTTTCAACTGATGTGCTTCTACTCTTGCCGTTTGAATAATAAATAAATACCACTCTCATATCGATTTCATTCACATCTAGTCTTTTGTTCGGTAACATAGGACGACGGCAAGAGAAAGGTGAAACGAATAAGATCTAATCGATTACACCCAAATATTCATTGTACCCACGTGAAGTATGAGTTATCTCACTATTTCTTACACTATTCCAAACGTGATGGCATGGGTTAGAAGAGGTTTAGTCCATGCATGGCATAAATAGCCGAATGTTTAGTTAATGTCTCAGTCAAATTTATTTCCTAGTTCCATTAACGATTTATTTGTCTCTTCATGGCAAAAAATACAATTATCGGACAGAACTATGCAGAAAAATAGCGAGACGAATAGTAAATTATATTATCTTGTCAACTCAATACCACTTAGCCATTAAGTAATTCTATCGAGTGTGTATTTTCGATAGATTAAGCAGCTGTTACAAGAGAAAAGTAATGAAGAACGATGCTAGTCATCGGTTTTCACTAGTCATCGCATATGACATATGTTCCATTGGAGTCATACAGCGTATATCTTTATTCTTTTAAGACTTTTTATTTTTATCATTTGTGACTGGGAATATGAAAACTTTCTTTTCGAACACGAGTGTATTTCTTACTGATTACGAAACATTTCAATTGTTTGTCGATTATTAAACCATCATCATCTATTGTTTCGTTGCTATTCTCTCGAGACGAAACAAGATGAAATAAAATCAATCCGATTCACAAAAGTTTCTTGCAAATATAAAAAATAATTAACTGTCTAATCATTGATCTAATCTTTTCAAACTTGTTCCTTTCCTCGAGCGTACGACGGCGAGGCGAGCTGCTTCGGTAATCATTTAGGAGCACAGATATCGTCTCGTTTTCAAAATACAATGATAAGAAAATGTTTTCCTGAGGATATCTTCAATCAAGCCATGGAATACTAATGACACTAGTCAAGTTAAATCAATAATAAAGAGAAATAAGCAACGAATATTGTCACGGTTTAAGCAAGCGTCCAAAATTCAATCATGACTAATCAATCGAAAAAAATGTACTCAACAACACTTGGCGATAATTTGCTATTGATTGCCTTTATATCTGTTTTGTTTTATTATTAATTGATAGAAGACAATGAGAGAATCGTGTATCTGAAAGGAAATCAGACCTTTCTTTTCCTTCTGCTTTTACTTCGGAATAAAAGTCGCGATGTTTCTTTCCTCTTGCTCTAGCCTTGCCGTCTTCGTCACTATGTTCTGTCTTAGTCAACACTGATCGAACACATACACACGACTAAGTGCCTCTAGGGTGTAACAATGACTACGCCAAAATGCAAACTAAATCTCTTCTCTTTCGATTCTTTTCTTAGTCTTCAACCATCTCTTCTGTCATCATCAACGTTACATTAATAGATACTATTTGATTAGGCCGAACAATGAAGCTACTGGCTTGTGAACATAAAAATTTCAAAGTGGTCAATTCTGAGCGAGAGGGAGGTTCAACCAAATGACTTCTATGCTTTAGTGCATTTCTGATCGAAAACTGATTTGATGTGAAGTTGTCAAATCGATGCATGTTCGATCTATTGATTAGATTTCATGTTCAATCACAATGTGTGAATGATATGTTTAACTGCTAGTTATAACAGTTGCTTTTACGGAGAAAAAAAAAGAGAGTAAGACTCCACTATCATTGAAGTGATATTGTAACTGAGTACAAAGTCGAGAGTTCTCATAGGCACTCAAAGGTTGACATTGGTTTGTGAGATACTTACGTCCATGGTTGATATATTGATTTCGATTATATTATTGTCAGGGAGATCAATAGATCAGTGTAGGTGAGAGAAAGGATGGCCAACTGGTTGGTCGTCTGTTCGTTGTGCTTGGCGATGGAGTAATAAAAAGAAGATTTTTCTCAGAAAACGAGTTTCTTTGTCACTGGTGTGTCTATAACAATAAAGACGATCTAAAGTGAGAAAGCACGGTTTTATCAGAGATCGTACAATGCAAGAAGTAGCGAAGAGAAGAGAGAGAGAGAGAGGGAGGGAGAGAAAGGGAAAACTAAGCTGCCATGAAACGAGCTAAAAAGAGAAAGATTTTGTGAATCTTCTCGTTTTTTGCTTTCCATTTTGGCTTTTTTTTCTTGCTCTACATAAAAAAAGAAAATAACAAGTGAAGACATTCGCCGTTGCGAACACTACTAGCATCACTCAATCCATTCCGCCCCCATTGTCACATATAGATATTGCATATGAAACTGACGCTACTTATCTGAATAAGAAAAAGGAATGTAAACAATATATCGATTAGAAGATCGTCGAAAAGAAGAATCGCGAATGTAAAGTCTTCGAAGAAAAGACTCATCATCATTTGCATCGATTCGAACGAAATTGATGATAGGGATTTAAAATGTGCAACATCATTAACTAATCATTGATTCGATTAATTTAACGTAACGAGAAGTCTCTAGACAGATAGGATTAGCAAAGAAGACCCGAGCTATATGATGACATTCCTTCTTTTGACTCACTGTCTGCATAAATCGTTCGAGCTTTTAGACAGATTGCCTGAAGCAGATGTTCAACTGACAACTTAGCATATTTATAGGTCAGAAAAATCGAATATCTCCATGCATATTTGTAGTTTTATGAACTTTGTTTATGTTGCACGATGAATCTAAAGAGAAAACAAGCACACTGTATGCGGAATCGATTCTAGTGTTGACAGTTCATCGATCAACTGAAATAATATTACATATTAAAACTAAAATAATAAGAACAACGACGACGAAAGTGTTTCTCCCAGTTCTCATTAGTATCTTGACATGCGATATAGCTTTTCCTTGTTTTTTTCTCTGGAGTTTTCGTTGAAACTGGAATACATTGTTTAGTCAGATTTGTTCAGTTGTTTCGTGAAGCTTTTGTTTTCAATCAAAGATTGACTATCGACATGTTTAGACATCTGTAGATTATGGAAAATCAGCTATCTAATTGATTG